CACTCACCTGTCCTTTAAAGTCACCGAATATAAGAACAGATGTGTTTTTTTTTAATTAGGATAAACTTAAAGTGTTTAATTTGTTATTAATATGTTTATATCAAAATGTTAATTATGTTTATATATATGTTCTTAGAGTTGGCCAATCAGTTCTTAGTTCTTAAATGGTGAGTGCAGTTGAAGTGTTATACCTCTTCTTTCTCTATTAGAGGGCTTTGACACATAAACTACAAAATTTTTCATGGATCCTTTTGCAAATACTTATCTTGAATATCACAGCTAGGTAGTACAGTGGATAGAGTACTAGCCTTGGAGTCAAGAGGATCCAAGTTCAAATTCAGGCTCAGACATTTATTAGCTGTATGACCCTGGGCAAGTCATTTAATTCTGTCTCGGTTCCTCATCTGTAAAATGAGCTGGAGAAGGAAATGGCAAAGCACTTCAATATCTTTGCCAGAGAAACCCAAAGGAGTCACAAAGAGTTGGACATGACTGAAAAAAACTGAACAATAAATCCTGAATATCACCACATGAGATGACTTGATGTCCCATGAAATAGTGCTTCTTGGGACTTGGTGGAACAATAACAATATAATTAAAATTCTCTGACTTAAGTTGTCTTTGGATGCAGGTAAAGCCAACTCCACCAACCCCTTTATTTGACTCTCCAAGGAGAACCTGCAAGCCATGCTTCACTTGAGCTAACACTTCCTTTTCACTTGTTTCATTTGTAGGGAATGTCAAGATTGATATCGTTTGGTTTCTCCAGTAGTATGTCATTGGACAAGGATCTCACATTTCAGTACAAACAGATAAGATGATGTTTATGTCACTCTAAAAATTGTGTGATCCCCAGAATTCTCTGCTCCATTTTCTGCCCTTTTGCAACCAGTGATATAAAACTCAGACCCAACAGCAATGAGGATCATTTTATGTTTTTCTCTACCTCGAGACAATGCCAAAAAATTCATCACTAAATGACCACTCATTGATGACATGTTTAGCTAAGTTGATTTTTAGAAGCCTGTTGCTGGGACAATACTTAAAACATCTCCTACACAGTGGAACTTCCAGAGCTTCCCTTTTGCATAGTCTTCAAAAAGATAAGACCTCCTTTCCTCTCCCTCCCCCAAAAGGGCAAGACCCTTGCATAGTCAGGGTCACCTCTCTGCTACAAGGAGGCTTTGGAGTAGAACTTGGTAGAGGAATATAAATTAAATGAACTTCTATGATTTTTTTTTCTCTAGCTCAAACCAAGTGCTTCAAACTTTATATCAGGGGGGAGGCAATCAGGGTTAAATGACTTGTCCAGGGTCACACAGCTAGTAAGTGTCTGAAACTGGATTTGAACTCAGGTCCTCATGACTCCACATAGTTGTGCCACAGTAATTATTTATTTATATAAAACTTTTTTGGGGGGTGTTGTAGTTGGCTTGATACTTACCTACCTCTGTCCAAACATCTCTATGCAGTAATAGCTATATGGATTGTTAAGCTAAATAAGAGGAAGTATATTTGTATTATAGGGAAAAGAAAACAGAACATTGGATTTGGACTCAAAGGATATGATTTTGAATCCCAGCTCTGTTTACTACCTGTATAGTGCTTCTCAGTGTGGTCAGGGATCCCTGCAGGGGTCTCCAAGACCCTTTCTATGGGTTTGTGAGGTCAAAGCTATTTTCATAATAATGCTGAAGTGTTTTAATTTCAGATATAGTAAATATCAATAGATATAATTCACATAAATAAAAGCTCTTTGGGGTCCTCGATTTTGAAGAATATAAAGACTAAAAATTTTAAACATTTACTGGGATAGATGTCTAAAGTCCCTTCCAAATTCAAGTCAGATGATCTTATGAAAATTTCAATCTTTACTTAGCAGTAGAGATTTCTCTCAGGGTCCTCCAATATTAGTTGTCAGTAACTGAGTGCTTGATAATATTTAGTAGGTTATGCCTATACTGACCATTTTGGTCACAACCTAATGACTCATTTATTTAAATCCCAGAGTTCAAATTTACTTTATAACCTTTCACCTATCCATAGTGATGATTCAAATTATACAGAGATAAGTCATAGTACTTTGGATTCTCTATATTACATGAGCACAAAATTCAGTTCACTTATAAGAAAGATCTATCTTGAATCCAGAGGGATTTATTATTGCAAATGACAGATCCTATTAGGACATTGTCTTATTTATAGGCAAAAGTTCTTTTCTACAGAGTTTGATGGAGTAAAATTGCTTCCTAATATGTGAATTTCATTTAAATGAATAACCATCACTGTAACATACACAGGGAAATATCCTTTGTAAGTACAACTGTTGCTATCTCTTGGACTATATGTTGTGTAGCTCTATGGTAATGGAGAGTTTTCACAGTGGGAATTTCCCTGCATGAGACAATTACAGGTCTGGCCTCCCCCCAATAGAGATAAGAGATTTATGCACATACACAATTCCAATCCCAATGCTTACCGTTTAACTTCACTTAGAAAACCACTGATTTAACTTTTTAATAGTTTGAAATCAAGCCAGAAATAGCCAGAGCAAATAAAAGGAGAGAAAGCTGAGACAGGATGGTTCCTCTTGTTAATGGTAAAAAGGGGGGAAAAGTCTTCTCTCTGAATTTGCACACAATTCTGCAATCATTCCGAAAGTGGAAGTAGCATTCTGTTCAGCTGACAATGCAATCTGGGGAACTTCAACTGCACTCACCATTTAAGAACTAAGAACTGATTGGCCAACTCTAAGAACATATATATCATGCCAGCCCCCCCCCATTTAGATATGTCAGAATGAAAATAAATATATACTATGTGCTATATACACATGTATGTATGCTTGTGTATATGTGTGCAATATGATGCACATGTATGTAGACCTGTATATGTATACCGCATATATTTTGATTCATTTTAATGACCCTAAATTTTTTCTGCTTTGCCATGTTATGACTGTCATGTATGTGAATATATATACATACATACATAGTAAGACAATACACACATAATAGTATGCATATATGTATTATTTGTAAGGAAATAGCACTCACATATAATGCATACACATGCATGTATAGACATATGTAGTGTATATAAATGTGCATCTGCATGGGCTTGTGTGATGCCCAATATTTCCCAAACCTTGCTTTTCACCAAGCATTGCTCTGCACAAAGCACTCCCTGGGTCCACGAGGAAACCACATGGTTTTTCTACATCATTTTAAAACTCTCAGGCAAGCTGCCTAGTGCAACATGGCTCACATGCTCACTCTTAACTCCCATCTATTGCTTGTAACAAATCCATCCAGGCGAAATCACTCCTTTTCAATCAGTCTGGGCTTCGGATTTTTAAAAAATATAAAACCTACAGACCCTCCCCCTCTACCATTCAGGATCAGAAGGGGAAAAAAAGAGGAGAGTAGGGTAGGGGTGGTCGGTGGTGTAGGTGGAAGTGCTTCCATCCTGGGTGGGAGGCTGGGAACAGAGCCAAAGATAGCCTTCCTTACGGGACAGGTCTAAGCAGCGCCTCCTCCTTTGTTCTTTCTCCCTCTGATGAGGCATCTCCTTTTCTAGTCTCCAGCCCCGGCCGCCTGTGGGAATTTTGCTGGTTTGCCTTTTTTTTTTTTTTTTAAACTAAGTTGGAATTCTTTTCCTTTTCGTTTCCATCTTGTTCCACTACCCGATACAGCCGGTTCTCCCGACCCGTTCCCTTCCGCACCTCCCCCCCACCCCACCGCCTCCAGTTCCTTCCCCGGAGACTTGGGGACGGGGGTGGGACTGGTCCGGATGAGGGGCTCACTCGCTAGGTAGCCTAGCCTAGACCTGCGCTGGCCCGGCGTCTTGGGGCGCGCGCCAGCATTTTTCTGCTTAAAATGGTCAATACAGATGAGTCCCATCCTCCTCTCTCCCAGCCCATCCCAGGGATGCGGAAGAATGGGGCTCTCTGGGGGCAGGGCTCCTCTTTAGACCTCTTGTAGTCAGGGCCGTTTTCCCCCCTCACCCTGGGAAGAGGAAGGTGGATTGCAAAAGCGAAGCTTAGGCAAAGCGGCGGCCGCCTCTCCAGCGCAGGCATTTTGGGGGCACCCAGCTCCCTCGGCCGGCCCGGTTTTGCATTCCACTCCAGACCACCCGAACTCCAGTCTGTGTGTGTGTGTGTGTGTGTGTGTGTGTATGTGTGTGTGTGTGTGTATGTGTGCGTTGCCCTGCTTCACAGATTCACCGTGTGTCCTACTCCCGCCCCATCCCTCTCTCTCCCTCTCCCAGGCCTCCGCACGGCCGGCCGGCTCTGGCCCCTTATATAGCTCTCTAAAAATAGCTCGCCTTACACCGCCTTGTAAGGCAGAAGGGAGATCAGCCTTGCTCCAATCCCCAGGCCCCTTGGCTGCCAAGCTCCGCCCCAGGTCCCGTCTCTCTGCCCCCGATTGGTCCTCAGTGACTTCATGAGCCCCCCCCTCCGTTTACCTTACATGGTCACACGTTGCCTTAATGGACGCTTTCTTCCAAGATCCCACGACTGCGCGGAGAGGAGTGAGGAGGGAGGGAGGGAGATTGGGGAGGGGGAAGAGGAGCAGCGGCAGGAGAAGGAGGAGGGGAAAGAAAGGGAGGGGGGGAGGACTACAAACTAGCAGGGATGGGGTGGGGGGTGGGGAGGGAAGGGGGGGGGAAGCGATCGCGAGAAAAAAAAATGCAACCTCCCAAAATAAAGAGCAAAGATTGCATTAGGAGCGAACAGCAATGCAGAAATAGATGGCAGCTTCGTGTCAGTGAGTTTGCATCCCCCTTCCTGGTTCACGAGCTGGAGTGATTAGAGCCCTGGAAGGGAATTCTTGCATTTACTACAGTGGAGAAGTACCCCTTTCCTGGCAGCCGTTTCCACTGTACATGTTGGATGCCTGTCTTCATCCTCTTCCACTCTCTCTTCTCTCATCTCCTGTCTCCCTTTCTCCTCCGCATTGATTTTTTTTAAGTGTGACTGAAACGAAACAAACCAAACCAAAAGGGACCCTGGATTTATGCCTTTTTTGGGGGGTGAGACAAACAAACAAATAGACAAACAAACAAACAAAACTGTGGAAGGGGGAGGGTTTCTCCTCCTGCTTTGCCCAGCAGCAGCAGCAGCAGCATGGACGTGTTGGCTAGTTATAGTATATTCCAGGAGCTGCAACTTGTCCACGACACCGGCTACTTCTCAGCTTTGCCATCCCTGGAGGAGAACTGGCAGCAGGTGAATGATTTAAATTACTTGTGTAAATCTTGTAGCGGCGAGACGCTGGGGCTACGTTGGTGCGGGCTTTGGGGTTTTTAAGGTGTTTTGTTGGGGTTTTTTTGGTGTGTGTGTGTGTGTGTGTGTGTGTGTGTGTGTGTGTGTGTATGTGTATACGTGTGTTTGTTGTTTGAAATGTTTCCTGAAACATACATACTCTAACCTTACCCCCTTTCCCCCTCCCCCTCCCCTCCACCCCACATTTGCCAAACAGAGCAGTCCGGTTCGAGCTGTCTGTATTCAATCATAAACACACGTCCTTACACTCGCAGACCATTCCGTTGTAGAGATCCGCTTAACTTCTCGGTTTAAGGTTGGGATGGTTGATTTGATAGCGATGTGTCTATAGAGATATGTGCATGTATTGGATTATAGATATTGCTTATCCCTGCTTAGTAACTTAAGTCAGGTTGATCGCTTTCAGCTGATTTTGACAACTGGCAGGTGGTAGAAAAGGGATCGGAGTGGGTATTTTCAGCTAATTAGTATGTGTCCATAAAACAAACAATAAAAACCTTCATTGGGGGGTATTGAAAGGGTGGGCAAGGAGAGAACAGAGAACCAGTAACAAAAGACACTAAGCAGTATCTAGGAGTGGGGCATGAAAGTGCATTTGCTTTAGATTTATAATGTATTTTCAGCTTCCGCCCCCGTGGAGTCAAATGCCTCTAGAAGAGAAGGGGGGAAAAAACCAACCCAGTCCCCTTCAGCTACTGTTTGTTCTTCCCATTCCTGAGAACCCTTTGGTTCGTGCTGGCAGCCACACACAGCTTAGAAAGGGGTGTGGTGTGTTTTTGTGTGTTTTATTTTATCTTATTTAAAATAGGAGCCTTGAGAAACTAATATTATGCCTGAGAGACCCCGCATCCAGGTCTTCAGGTGGTCTGGAGGAGGAAGTGTGGTTGATTTCTAGTCTTCATTAGACCAATACAGTGCTCCAATACAATCTACTTCTGTGAGAAGTAGATAAAAGAAACTGGCAGTAGAAAATGTGGGTAGCTAAAAATCATGGTTCTGCCGGCCTCCAGCCCTTCAGAGGTTATGGAGGGAGGGCATCCTTCAGGGAAAGCTGTGACCCTGGCAAAATTTGCACGATTTTCCCCAAGATGTGGGTGGGCAGAGATCAGCAAATCCAAGGAGAGGATCCACATTTTTTCCTGTTGACAATATTAACTTAGAGTCCCTTCAATAACCCAGTTTGCCATTGGTAAGAACAGCATGGGGCTGCCAGGGTAACTTCAATGCCCTATGACAAGCAGCTTGTTAAGACTAATGAACTGCTTGATTTCTTCTTTGCAGGGATACAGAGCAGTATTTGCCAGCATTAAGCTGGTGTGTAAGTTACTTCTCTGCTAAGTGAGCTTTTTGCACAAGGAGCATGTATAGGGATGATGGCAACACCAATTCTCTCTTATTGTACCATTGTTACCTAGCTGAGCAGTGATTAGACTGTGGGAGCTCTCCTCAAGGTTTTGGCCTCCCTTCTCTCTGTGTGTATAAGTGTACACACACATATGCGTGCCAGTGTGACTGTGCTGTCAGATATATTTGACTTTATTTCTCTGTGACAGTAATGAATACGTTTTCACACATTATTAGGGTTTCATTTATAACTGGCTGTCATAGGACATTTATTAAATGCGTTTTCTCCCTCTGTCATTAATAATACCTGGGTTTAAAAATGTTCATCCCCCCTCCCCATTTTCTTTTCTTTAATTTCCAGCAAGATAATTAAATTGAAAAATATAATTTCACAACTAAAAAAAAAAAGAAACCTTTTTTTTTTGCCACCAGGTTAGTAGTGTTGAATCAGTTGTATATTAACCACAGTCTAGACAAGTTCAAAGGAAGGCAATCTTGATTTACCTAGCATGTCTAAAGGCTGACACTATATATGATTTGTTGGTACAGTCCCAGGGAAGGAAAGTGAATTTTATTTGTTACAGCTTTGTATGATGATTAATCATGCAACTTTGCTGTATTTGAAGTTTTCATAGTAATAAGGTTGGAGCCCAAGGCAATTTCTGAGTAAAGCCTGGTTCCTTCACTCTTTAGTAGCTAGCAGCCTTGGAGTGTGTGAAAACAAACAAACCAAAAATATTTGCCTTGACTGTGTGGTGAAAAGTATCAGATCCATTGTTCCTCCTAGGCACTCCTTCCCTCCTCCTCCTCGCCCTCCCCACCAATGTCTCTTACTTGGTTTTCTGATAACAGGAAGCGGACTTTCCTCTCAGTTTGGCACAAACCCTGTACCCCTAACTTTTTACCCCTTTGTCAAGGCACCTTAATCACATGGTTGGAAGCCAGAGTTAGATTTAACTTGTGGGAGAGTGCTTATAATAAACAAAGCATCACCTCTAGTAGGATTTCAGTTTTATGCCCTGTAGGCTCAACTAAGTCAGGTAAATGTGACTATAGCCATTAAGGGGTACTTATAGCACTGATTTACATATATATTGCATTTTAAGGTTTGCAAAGTTTTTGTTTTCTGCATTATTATGCCCATTTTATAGATTTGACTTATATATTACATTTAAAGGATTGCAAAGTTTCTATTTCCTCTATTATTATGCCCATTATAAATAAACTAACTCAGGTTATGAGGTTGTGTCATTTAGGTGACTGATACAGGATTTGAACCCAGGACTCTTGACTCCAGGTCCAGCACTATCCACTAGGCAATATTGCCTTTCACAGAAGATACAACCTCAAACCCGTTTTGTTTTTAGTACTGCCTGGTCTTCTGCAGTATTGCTTCTTAATGGAATGTACCAAGGGCAGTTGCACGTAACTGTTGGGCCCAGATAAGCATTCGGGTTTTGAAATTTTGAATACTGATTGCTCAGGACAGCTCAAAAGTATTGCTAAACACTGACCACACCATTGCTACTCTCCACCTTCATCATCCACTCCCCTTTGAAAAAAAAAAGACAAGAAAAACTCTTGCCATTTTCTGCAAGGAACCCTAGGCAAGAGGAAGCTTCCTTAGGACATGGGGCAGTCTGTTCTTTAGAGGTAAAATGGAGGTAATTATTAGATGGTATTCTCACTCAGATACTAAGAAAGATAACTAGCCTTAAAGTGAACCTGAACTAAAGGAGAAAATCCAAAGAATCTGATTTCGTTTTAAGATAAACTGTGGATTAGATGTTCAAGCCCAGGACATCTGTACATTTGAGGATGAAAGCTGGACTCTTGTTACTTCCACACTCTGTTTCATGCTGATAATCCGGGTAATTTTTCTGCTTAATCTTTAGTGAGTCTGGTATTAACATCAATGATGGACATGCACAGTATCCAGGATGAGAATTTTGACACTGGTTTTTCAGGCAAGGGAATCTGTTACCTTTCATTCAGGAATCCAAATCTAGAAAACAGTGCATATGGACTTTCCTGTAGTTTAAAACAGAAATGAATCCCCCACTTTAGCTACTATCCAGTCCTAGGCTCTACACACTTAGGATTGTGGCTGAAGTAACAGCATCTCTCCCCATCATGTAACAGTAAATTACAGTGTGCTCATGTGGTCTGTTATTTTGTGGAATTTAGCTGACACACAATGCTGAAGGTCCCCAAAGCAGGCTTCTGAAAACTTGCAAGAAAATTTTCAATAACTCTGAAAAAGCAGGGGAAAGGCAAAGGTAGGAAGAATGCTGGTGTGGTTTTGAGGGTACTGTTCCATGTTTTGGAAAGGAGACAGACAGATAACTACATCCTAGTCCTTCCCTCTCAGTAGGGATGATGACTTTTCTGGACCTAGCATCCACTTCCAAGATGAAAGCTGACTTGTAGCTTTAGCTAATGGGGACACTTCTTTCAGAGGGTTTTTTTTTTCAATGCTGAAAATCTGAACACTATGATTTATCCTTGCTTGTCTATGTTGTTTCATTGTGCAGTGAAAAGCAGAGGAGAGGGCATAATGATGTTCTGTAAGTCCTATCTGAAACCAGTTTTGCTTCATGCCATCAGGAGTATGGCATGTTTATTTGAAAACCATTTTGAAATTCTGTTAGTTGTTAATGCTGATTCATAATTGGCAGATGGGGTCAGTTTCAGGCCTCTTTTCTGCTTGGAGAAAATTTTCCACTGCTACTGGAAACAAATAAATAAATCAGAGCATTCTTTTCCCCTTCCCCCATGCCTCATTGTTTTAGACTAATGGCATACTTGGCCACTGTAAGTACTAAAGCATCCTAATAATACTGCAGTTTCATCTTGGTTCTAGCCACCCTGAAACACTTTTCAGAAGGGCCTCTGGTACAAGGTGTCTCTAGGGGACAACCTGCAGAAATGGTTGCCTTCCAAGAACAGTCTGTGAGAAAGAGATCGGATTTGGCCTTTGCCCTACACAGCAAGGGAAGCTGCTTTCTCTGGGCCCTAAAAGCCAAGTGCTGTCACAAAAAGCAGGACAAAGCAAATTCAAGTCTCCCCATCCTCAGTTTTGTCTCAGTCCCCAATTTGAAAAAGAAAAAAACCTTTTTATGAATTATAATTTCTTGGCAACAGCATTGGCCTGGTGAATTTGTAGACACAAAGGAGCCTTGCAAACCACACTGAAAGCATGAGATATCGGGTGCTTGTTTTGTGTGTGATTCGTGTGGCCTTTAGCTACAGCAAACGTATTTCTTCATTTGAAGCAGGGCGGCTATATCTTTTTTTAAAAATAGAAACATCTCTCTTACCTAGATTTCTCTTTTTAAAGATTTAAGTATGTGTTAGCAGTGAGAGCCCTTGGTCGTAGGATAGGATTCGGTATTTGGTCTCTTTTAAAATTAGCAGATGTATCAACATTTTCTTTTCTTAGAAGGAATCTGCAATATCAGAGAGTCTCTACTATTGTTCAGTCTAGATTTCCCTATTGGTGTTTTGTAATGAGGTGAACTGTTTGCTTTAAAGATGTTACAGTAGCCAAACTTTTGGGAGAGGAATAAGGAGGATAATTAGGTTACTAAGAAAAGTGC